GAGAGGTGGAACAGCTGACAGGGAGTGGGAGTGTGGCCCCGGTGGCTGTGGAGGAAACTGGGGAAGGGCACAGTCTGGCGGGGCATTCAGAGGAAGACCCAGGCCCATCCCCTCTTCATCCTAGGGCATGCAGGGAGGAACAGATCAGGGAGCAACTCAAGTTGTGTGGTTTACAGGGGAGAAAAGGGCCCTGATACCCTTCATTGGCTGCAGCTGAGAAGACTGTTTAAAAGGGCAAACTGTGCACTGCAAAGTTGCTGGAAACAAAGCGTGAAATTATTCTGGTTTGTCAAGTCTGATCTGAGTTCTGGCATCCTCCCCAAGTATATGTTTCATTATCTTTTGACATCTTCAATCCCTTATCCTGCCCTGTCTCATTAATTGCTACAGTTTGGCTTGTGTTAGCTTTTCTTTATAATTTTATATGCACTTTGAGTTTGGACGGAATTTCTTTCTTTTAAAAGCTGTTTTTGAGGGTTTTTTTCTCCAGCCGATGATAACTGGACATTGGGGGCCAGGTTGGAGGTATTAAAGGGACTTTACCTATTTTTGTGCCACGCCTTGGGTCATCACAATATCCTTTGAAGGAAACCAGAACCATTGTCATAGATCTTCCTGGGCATGGACATTAGAAAAATGTACCATCCCATTGTCAAGGAAGAGCATTTTCTAAATGTTGGCAGCTTTAAGATCTGTGGAGTTCAACTCCCAGAATCCCCCAGCCAATGGGGCCTTCACAGTGTTGGCCCTTCTTCTGTGGTACAACGGGCATCCACATTTAAGAATTATGTATTCTTTACTCGGTTTCTGAAAAGAGGTGAAAAATTGACTGTGGAAGATGCTTTGAGGAGACATTAGGTTTTCTTTTATGATCCAACTGTCCAAAGAAGGGTGAAAGAGAAATATCAGTAATTTAAAAAAAATGAACAATGATTAATAGCCATGAGCAGAGATTGTGGATTAGATGAAAGGCTGAGTTTTACACTTATTTGTTTATATCCCACCATTATTATTTTTACAAATAACTCAAGGCAGTGACTATATCCAACACACTTCCCTTCTCGTTTCCTCTACAACAATCCTGTGAAATGAATTGGGCTGAGAGGGAATGACTGGCCCAAGGTCATCCAGATGCCTTTCATGGCTAAGGTTGGACTTCAAATTTGTGGTTTCTTGCTTTCTGACCCGGTGCCTTAAACCACTAGACCAGACTGGTTCTCGGTTATAAATTTCATCTGGCAGAAATTGAAAATATAGTAGTGGGGAAGATCTGTAAGGATCCGACTTTTGTTTCTGAGAACTTCCTCGCTAGCACTGTTCTTCCCGTTAAAGAATCAACCCTCTGATAAAATAAACCAGATTTTTCAGGAGCATCTTCCTAGTGCCTTCTAAATCAGGGGTGTCAAAAACACGATTTCACTGAGGGCAGCATGAGGGTAATGTTTGACCTTGGGGAGGGCAGGGAGTGTGTGGCCAGGGTGGGTGTGACCAGAATGATGTCACTTATGTTGTGGGGCGCCTGTGGTGGGCCAAGCACTCTGCCACCTAAAACAGGCTTGTGAGCGGTTTTCGGCCTCCTGCAACCCTCTGCCAGTGAAAACGGGGCTGGGGGGGGTGTTACCCGCAGCCCTCGCAAGCTCCATTTTCGGTTGCGATGGCCTCCCGCAACTCATTGCCAGGGAAAGCTGAGCCTTGGAGGGCCGCGTGTGCCTTCCCGAGCTCCGTTTTCACTGGCAGAGGCGCCACGGGCCAGTCCTTCACTATTTCCAGGGTGGCCCTGCAGGCTAGATCTAAGCACCCCATGGGCCAGATCCAGCTCCCCCCCGCAAGGCCTTGTGTTTGACACCCCTGTTCCAAATGAAGTTCTCCAAACCATTTCTCTGTATTAGGTTACGGTGACCGCAAATACAGGAGCAGCAGAGTTTGCCACATCTGTGTCCCAGCCTTCCCTCTGTGATGGCCAATGGCATACAATCACAGGTGAGCCACTTTCGAACCCAAGGGATATCATCTTTTTTTTTCTGCTGTCTCTTTTGGAAAGAATTGGCTGCCTCAGAGATGTTCCCCAGACTCTTACATTCTATAAAATTCTCCTCTTCCCCACCCCTCCCCTTTATCTTATATTTATATTTATTGACCATCACAATACTATACGCTGAGGAGCCTAATCACAAAATAGTATCTTCGTAGAACGCTGTTGATCAGTTCAGTTGAAGGTCTGGTTGATGTATTGAGTCAACGTATTGTCTCAGTGTATTGTTAAAAGCGTAAAACAGGTTAATTTAATTAGATTTAATGTGAATGCAGCCGGTAAAACAATGCCGGGGTCTGGGTTTCGTGCAACCTTTCTCTCCATCCAATGGTTGTTGATGGAGGATAAAAATTGGACCGCCAAGCTTCTTTGGGGGGGTTTTGGAGTCGATTCAGATCCCAGAGGTGCCGGTTACTAATTAAAACATTATAACATTTGCAAATCACGCATGTCCATCTGTCCCTATCTTAAATAAAGACTCATTCTTTGTTGCTGGTCCAGCTCAGTATGCTTTGCTAATAGTGATCTCTCTGGTTGGCCATTAGCGGGGCTGCAATCCAACGGTTATTGGGCAACGGGTTGGAAAGAGCTGTATCAGTAGCACCAGACGGATTTGATCTTCCTCTTCTTGCATGTTCCTCTGGCATAAGGGAGCAGGTGGGGGGCGCATGAATTATGAAATAGGTCCATCCTGCTCTGTTTTCTTTCCCAGTCATCAAAGGAAGCAACATGATCCAACTGGATGTGGATACCAAAGCCAATTACACAGTGGGCCCAAACGAAATCCGTGGTACTTCTGACAAAGAAAGCATTTATCTTGGTGGACTGCCAGGTAAGTGGGTTGAGGAACTGGAGCATGGAGGAGTCCATGAAATGGACCCACCCAGATTATTCGGTTTTTAAACCTTCTTAGGCCTACAGAACCTGCAGACAACAAAGATCCCCGGTCTAAAATGTATGAGGAACAATTGCTGGAATTGGATGTATCTGCTCTAATAAAAAGAAGGTCGAGGGGTGACAGAACAGTGTTCCAATATCTGAGGGGCTGCCACAAAGAGGGCAACAGAAGGCAGGATAAGCAGCAGTGGATGGAAAATAAGCAAGGAGAGAACCAATCTAGAACTAAGGATGAATTTCCTACCAGTTAATTGGTGGAACCGGGGGAGGGGGGGGTGTTGAGGTCCCTTCCAACTCTTATTCTGTTAAATAAAAGAGAGCATGGGGAGAAAGGAGAAGGAAAAGAAAAGGAAGGAAAGAAAGAGGAAGGAGGGAAGGGAAAGAAAGGAAAGAAGGGAGATGAAGGTGAGGAAAGAAGGAAGGAAGGTATTTTGGGGGCAAGGCCAAAGGATCATAGAGGGGATAGGGCAAAGCTGGCTTTTTCTAGACAAGCCACACCCTCAGAGAATTTGGACCTGGTTCAGAAAACTAATTCTGAATACACAGATAAGTCTTGACTGGCTTGAGGCTCCTTGAGGCAAGTGACTGTAGCAAGATTCTTTTCTCTGTATCAAGTCCAGCTGGCTTCTGTGCATAAAAAACTTCATTTTCCTTTTGCAGAACTTGCTTCACTGTCCCAGGTACATCACCCTCCCTCGTTTGTGGGTTGCATGAAGAATTTGGTGATCAACCGAAACCCAATTGACATCAGGCAAGCTGGCTCAACCAGGGGCTCTGTAGGGCTCAGAGGGTGCCCGACTGGGTAACTGAAGCTTCCTGGCATGTGTGAGATCAGAGCCACAGATGGGTTTGTCACCTTCGCAAAAGGCGACGGACGTCTGCGTGATGAATCTCCTTGCAAACGGAAAAAAGGGTTCAATAAAAGTGTGTGTGTGTATGTATATATATATGTGTGTACATATATATATATATATATATGGGGCAGAAGGGCTGTAGTGAGGTTCTCAGCTGGGCTCTTTAGTTAATTTGTAATATATTTGCACATTTCTTCCAGTATATTGGCAGTAGGGTATTTCAAACAATGCACATGGTGTGCGCTTTATAAAAATATTTATAATGGGTGCTAGAAGGCTAAGATGCTCCCTTGCACAAGTGAGACAAAGTCACGGTGATGCCTTAAGCAACAATTTCATCGAAAGACACAAAAGAACCAAGGAGTTTAAGCCTGTCTGTATATCGTGGAATCCTTGGTGCTCTTAAGCTTGTTTTCCTTGGCGATGTTTCGTTAAGTAACATAATTTCTGCAAGCTGGTTGTTTGGAGAGCAACGTGGGACTCCGCAATCCAACTCTGAGCTGCACACATGCTCTTCTTATTGGTATCTGCTTATCGATGTCTGACCACTGCAGTTGTTCCAATAATTTTCCAGACCGTTCACTCAATTTTCAAATGGGTTGATGACAAAATGGATGTAAGGGGGAAAAAAAACCCAAGATACTACAAAAGGCCTGTAAGTTCCCTTTCCCCGCAGATACAAATTACATTTGAAAAACGATGTTTTGTCTTTGCCAATTTCCCAAAAATGATCAAAGGAATGTATTAGATGTTAATAAGTAGGTTCGCACATTAGAGCGTGATATAATTAACATGGATCTCTGGGGTACTTTGCGGTTCAGTGCTGCGAGAACCTGGCCAGTCCATGATGAGAGGCCATCCTGTGGTTTGCTTAATAGCACAAGAGTCTCTAGAACTAGGATTTAAGCGGATTTTGATATTCCAGGCAAAAAACGGGGATGCTTCCCTCCTAATAAATATTAGGTGCTGTTGCTGCAGTCTGCATTGCAGTGACATTAAAGGAAAGCAGTTTTTCACTTATGAAGGTGATGTCCTCAGTTCCTTTCATACCCCCCCCCCTTTCACTCTTACTCCATCGTGTTACGTCTTCTTCAGTTTTAGTATCACAACTTTCCATCAGTCAACCAAGTGGTTACTCCTCAGTATCAAACCAGGTTCACTTGTGCACTTAGAAACATCCGTGTGTTTGTATGTGTGTATCCCATCACATTGGGTAAGACAGCTCTAAAAAGAATTTTATTACTCAAAGTATATTGGTTATCTTAATGCTGGGGTACATATTGAAAAGTGGATTTTACCTGACCCTGACTTTTATTTCAGCAACTTATTTGGGGGGGAACTAAATGATGAAAGCAATATTTCTGTACATCATCGCTACATACTTCCAATAAATTTTTCTGACTGTTCCCTTCTTGTAATATTTGTACACAAAGTGGCCTCGGTGCAGGAGGAGAGCATATGTTTGAGCGAATGCGTTCATAGGATGCCATGAAGGGGGATACTGGTCCTCCCTTTTAATAATGTGAATTACATGCTTACAACCAACTGAATTGCTTGCAAGGGTTCAATTCTATAACCCCCCCCCCCCGAATATCAGTATTTTTGCCACTTATTTGTCAATCTCAAAGCCATAAGCCATTCTTTATCACGTTTTGTCATGCCCAGCCCACCCTTGGAGGAGCCTCTTTGCAAATGGAGCTTAAAAATCCCTGGATTCGTAGTTCCTGTGAAAATATTCTGCTCAAACAATTCCCCAGGCCCCACATTATCCAAACAGAGAGGGAGGGGAGGAGATCTGACTCTCAGGAGCCCCTCAAATCTTTAATGAAGGCAAGAAGTCAAATATTCCACCAATTATAGTCACACCCAGGTACAATTAGCTCGATATAAAAAATATATATAAACGAATAGATGTAGGCTAACCCTTCAAACGTAAAAGCTACAGTTTTACTGGATGCAAGATTTCATTTAGACCAATCAAATCTTTCCTAGGGACAAGCGGTGTCTTAAGGCAAAACAGCTGCCTTGGGCTATAGCAAGAAACGGGGGGAAAAGTTATTTCCAGAAAGAATTTTGGGAGTGAGAGCCTTTACTTGTAGATTCGATACACGGAGTCAGCTAGGGATTCTACTTAAAGTTAATATCTAGGAGTATCATACAGACACAATTAAGAAACCTAATCTAAACTCATGTCTTCCTCTTCGTCCTTCTTCTCCTTTGCTTCTCCTTCCTTTTGGTCGGATTTGACGTTGTTCTGCATGGCTTTTGCAAACGCCTCTACGTCTAGAAACAAGACACATTAAATCGGTAATTCAGCAAGAGAAAAGTATAAAAGACAGCAGGCTGCCTTGGGCACATTTGACGTGTGTAGTTGCAACACATGACCTGCAACAGCATGGAAGGTTTGTGTTAGTCCAAATAATCAATCCTTTGCATAAATATGCTGGCCTAACTTCATTTCCCTTCAAAATCAGTTTCCAAGGAGCTCGATGTCACACTTTCCAGTTCACTACGTTTTAGTAGTAGAGGTTTTATTTATGATTTAGATCTCTACTTGCTCTTCCACTTGGCGTACATTCTTGACAGCATAGAATTAAAACTTTAAAATAATTAAACATAAGAGAAGGGAAAACAGTGTGCAACAGCCAGCCAGCTGTCTTACCTGTCTTATTTCAGACCTTTGGGGAACAATCAAGTTTTTAAAGACATCTAAAAATTTGTAGCGCCAGGATGACCTGAAACACTGGGGTTTTCAAGATGGAGTAGCTCTCTGGTAGCATTCTTGGTTAAAGCTCTCCTTAACAGTTCAATAGTAAGGATTCAACTAATTCTCTATAGCCATTTATAGCACAGATAAGAATGCTCAGAATGACCATACAAACAAAAGTGCCAGACTTTGAACCATCACGTCAGCAATGGACAATCCTGAATAGGATGCGCACCTCACAGTGTCTGCCGGAGCTCTCTACATAAATGGGGCATCCATCCTCCCCTCACTGACTGCAGGGTCCCACGTCAAACTGTAGGTCACATTGTGATCGGCTGTAAGTTGAGGGCATATACCGCTCCAGTATCTGATTTTTTTTTTTAATATAAATGATGCTGAGTTTTAATGGTTAGATCAGCAGTCCTCAACCTTTTGGGCACCAGGGACTGGTTCTGTGGAGAACCCAGAATTCCACATGCCAGCATGCTAGTTGGGGAATTCTGGAAGTTGAAATCCACATATAAAGTTGTCCATGGTTGAAAAACACTGGATGAGAGTGATCCAAAAAGCCTTCCAGAAAACACAGCAGAATTCAAATCTCCTAATGTATTACTTCATCCTTAGAAAGATTTCCGTTAATGATTCAGCAGCTCCCAATTAGCTATGCAAATGAACTTACCACCTTTGTTTGCTGCGTCTATAGCTTCCGCTGGTAAACCAAATTGGCTCATCAAGGGTCCCAGCTGCCCAGAAGCCAAGGCAGCACTGAACATGCTCAAGGCCTGCAAAATGAAAACAAGACCAGCTCATCTAGGTTATAAAAGATTCTCAGATTCTGAGAAAATCAAGCTTCTATCTTCAGAGAGGCAGACTACAGACAATCCTGTTCCAAGATGATTGCAGAATTCAAAAATCCAGTTCCCACTAGCTACATGACCACAAGGGTAGATGAGGGATCTTTTCATGTTCTCATGTTGTGACCCGTCAGCGGCTAGCGGAGCTGACAGCAGAGTCGGACAGTAGCGAGGAGGTTGGGCAGAAACATGGGCCAGTCCTGGAGGCCGAGGAAGGCTCGGACAAGGGGGTCTCCACCCGAGGCAGAGATGCAGCCAGAGCAGTCTGGCAGCCATCAGCTGCCTTTGGAGTCGGACAGCAGTGAGGCAGGGGAGCAGCTGGAGCCGGTTCCCAGCCTGCACATGCGCAGAGCTGCCAAAAGAAAAGAACAATTACGAACTAAGGGTCGACGTGGGAGTAAACCCACAGGTGAACGATGGATGGCTCTTCCCATAGGGATTAAAAGAGGAGCAAAAGGGGAGGGGGCTTTTGCAGGAAACAATACATTCGTTCATTGTAGCAGTGTGAAGATTTGTCTGTGAATCTCAGAGACTCTGTGCCGAGTCCTTCCTTGTCAGCACTGCATTTGGAAATATTTACTCGGCAGCTCTCCAAGCTAGATAAGGTCTGTGCTCCTCATTACACCCTTGAAAGACTGTTTGCCAGGCCTGTGGCTGAATGTGACTGCAAGAAATTCACCTTTGTTTAATTAAAAGGGATTCTGCCAGGACAAAAAGTCTGCTTAGTGCTTCTTGGGGAAGCCTGGGTTAGAACAATATGATACAATCTAACCAAGGTCATGTTTCATTCATTACATTTTCTTTCTATCCTAAAATATTATGCTCTAATTTCAAACCTCTGCCCTATGATTTCTTGGTATTTCAATTAGATCTAAAGAAATTAGCTAGCACTACGAGCTTTGTTGTAAACTGTCAACATGGGTGGTAGTGTGACAACTATAATTCTTAGTTGAATTATCATCAGTCCTGTGAATTCTTAGTTAAGCAGTGCTGGGGTAAAGTCACTGTAAATCAGAAATGTGTAAGCAACACAGCCCCCAAAACAGTACATACTACTGCATGTCCCTGAAAATAAGACCCAACTGGAAAATAAGCCCTGGCATGTTTTTTCAAGGTACTTGGAATATAAGCCCTACCCAAAAAATAAGCCCCAGTTAAGATCGTCAGCCAGACAGACGCATTTAGTATTTTCTTGAAATTAAGGCATAACTGAAAAATAAGCCCCAATGCATCTTTTGGAGCAAAAATTAAGACGTCTTATTTTCGGGCAAACGATGTATTAAAAGTTTCAAATAGCACACCAGCAAAGCTGTATTGGTTAAAATAACACATAAACTTCTGAATGAACTGTCTCTCATCGCCCACAGAACCTTTTCCCAACCTGACCCTATAGGCCACTTCGGTTCCTAGAGGTAGTTCTTGGATCTATTGACCCATCATTTAGTGACAGTTCAAAGTTACAATGGACCTCCCCAGAGTTACTTATGACTCATGCTCAAAGTCATCACATTCACCTGGCCCCGTCAGCAGTCACATAATCGCATTTTCAGTACTTCGCAACCAGCAAATCTTTGCAGCACCTGCAGTCACATAACCATGATTTACAATATTTTTTGCTGGTATCTGGTGTTTATTTCTGGTTTCTGGCCAAAACAAAAACAAAAAAGGCCTTTGGGGAAAATGTATTTGCTTAATGATTGTGGCATTTGCTTAACCACCACCCCGCCAAAAAATGTTGAAAAAAATAGGGTCCGGATATGTGATGCCTTGACTTACAACTGCAATGACTTACAGCTTTAACTCTGGGCTCAATTATGGTTATTAGTCCTCTATCTGTACAAACCAACTTAAGACCTCCTTATTCAACTTGGGACCAAGCTCTGCTCTTCTACTGACATTAAAATGGTTACCTGATGGAACTGCGGAGAGGTGAGCGTGTTCTGAATCTCCTCTGCTGTTTGCGGCAGAGATTCCCCCGAAGGAAGGTAAGGCAGCAAGCGCTCTTGAACTTCTGTGTTGGCCAGAATAGGTGCCATTATTTCTGGAGTAAGCACACTGGACAGGTCAACTGTAGAAGAACACAATTAGGGTTGTCTCTTGAGGTACATGGAATTAGCAAAGATGCTACTGGTGATCACAAATTCCAAGAGTAGCCTGGGAATCCCAATGCAGTAGAATCTCTGGTCATGACCATAATTTGTTCCATAACTGGTGATCTCTTTGTCTTCTAAAGCAGGGGTCTCAAACTTGCGGCCCACGGGCCAATTGCGGCCCACAGGACGATATCCTGTGGCCCCCACCGTGATATGAAAGTATAATATTAGTGTGGCCCGCAGGGGGAATGGACCTCTGAAGGAAGTCCTGCCCGCCGTTCCTCATCATGGCTTCTTCTCCACCCTGAACTTTAACAAGTCCAAGTACAGGTCCAGACTTACTGATGATCATCTTCAAGCCATACTGAGGGTCTCAAGTGCCTCCTCTCTCAAACCAAATGTGGCTCAGATATGTGAGAGGAAGTGTTGTCAAGTCTCTGGCAGCAAGGAGTAAGCTGGAGAAGCCATGTTCTGAGGAACTGTTCATGACCTTCATTCAATGTTCTATTCATGTGTTCAGGACAGTTCATGTATTGGAGAAATCATTAACTGTTGATGACATTTGAGGATATTTTTTTAACAACGTTTTTTGTGGAATCCCTTATGCGGCCCAGCCTCACCCAGACTCTGCCTCCAGCGGCCCCCAGGTAAATTGAGTTTGAGACCCCTGTTCTAAAATCTCGTCTTCAGGAAATTCTGGGTCAGGGTTTGTGTTTGATCGCCACCCGAGTATGTGTTCGTGACCAGATTCAAAAATTTTGTGAATTTTTTGGTTGGAACCTGATTTGGTCGTGGTCAGAAGCATTCGTGACCAGAGGTTCTACTGTATCTATAAAAATCATGACTACCACATCATAAATGTGGCAGTTGATTCTAACTGGCTAACCAACAGCTGCTTAGCACTGGTTCATACTGGGGTATCGGAAGCCCAGAACTTTTATCTCTAACTCCAGGCCGGAGTAATAAAGACTGTGAGATGTTAGGATGGAAGTTCAAGAAAAGAGGCACGTTTAGAGAAGACATACCAAACGCGCAGCCCTCTTTTACCTTGCTGTCCTCCTGTTCCGGCTGGTACATTCATAGTAGCTAAGATGGTCTGAAGATCACTTAGCTGGATGGGTTGCGTAGGGCTTGTTGCTGTGCTGGTCCCGTTTCCTGAGCTTGGAGCAGGACTAGGACTAGTGGCTGTGGTTGTGGCAGCTGCAGGAGCAGCAGGAGCAGGAGCAGGAGCAGGCGTTACCCGGGTGGAGGAGGTACTGGAGGATGGCGTCACAGCTGCTGACTGGCTGCGTGAACTGAAAGATTTGGGGGAAAATTCTGCAATGGTTATTTCTCAGCGAAAGGAGAGAAAGGGGTTAAAGAAAAGCCCAGAGACCTTCTAATTTAGGCCACCATCTATTTTGCGCTTGACAACTCCTTCTTAGTTTCAAACTCTTAATTTTCCCACCCCATGAGCACAAAATCCAGAAGTTAAATGTTTGATCACTTTGGTTTTGCCAATTAGATAAATTTGTTGTTATAGAAATGGCTAGTGTATACTAATATGTAAAAGTAAAAAGTTGAGGCTGTAACGTTGTCATCTGGTACTGTGCTGAAAATAGTCGTAAGTTAGAGGGTTTTCCCTCTTTTTCCCTTCCTTGTACCCCATGTTTCCCCCCCCCGTTTTTCCTTCCCCTAATTTCCTATTTCTATTTTCCTTTCTATTTTATTTTATACTTGGATAAAACAGAAGTCATAAAATTGTAAAAAAATATCCTTAATTTATAAAAGGCAACAGATGATTTCATCTTACAGCCATGCATTTAGAAATACAATTTTGGAGAAACATGACACAAACTTCGGTTCCTACAGGTGAGAGCCACACCATTATAGGTCACATTTTAAAGATGCTAAGAGTAGAAAAATAGCCTTTCTTTTGAGTTGCAAAACATATCCTAATAAACAGAGCATTCCACACCCAAACCCAGGTACAACTTGGAAAGAAGTTATGACTGGTCTACAGAGAAGATGAAGACATTTAGCATGCCCTTTCCCTGGAAAATGTTAGATTACTTTCAGATCTGTATCTCTAATGCCCCATCTGCAATGAAGGAATAATGCTGGTCTATATATCTCTGGAGATTCTCAGTCATCCAGGCCATGGCTGTCCCAAAAGTGCTTTTTTCAAGAGGCAATGGAACTTTCTGGTTTTTCTTTGAAGACATTTCCCTTCTCATCCAGGAAGCTTCTTCAGCTCTGACTGGAGAATTCCCCACTATCCAGAGTTGAAGAAGCTCCCTGGATGAAAAGTGAAACGTCTTCAAAGAAAAACCAGAAAGTTCCATTGCCAAAGCACTTTTGGGATGGCTGGTCTATATAGTTAACACAATTATTGAAATAAGAAGCACTGGTGTTTTTTCCAAATAAAGGCAGTCTTCGACTTCCGAAGTTTCCCCCTTCACATAGCATTTCAGGTTCTTGGCAACCAGCCTGCATTTATGATTGCTTGCAGCATTCCTCAGTCACATAACTACAATTTATGAAGTTTTTGCTAAAAACTAGCCTTCCAGTTTTCAGCAAAAACACGCCATAGTGAACAATGAGTTCATTTAACGATCATGGTGTTTGCTTAATGACTGCCACCAAAAAAAGGTCATAAAATTGGACCAGTCATGTCAGGATCTGCTTTGCAACTCTAATGGGCAGCCTCCAGTGCAATCGTAAATAAAGGACCACCTATACAAGCATAATTCTTTTTTTATAATATTTATTTATTTATTATACCATTTTCTTTGTTATATATGCAATTTCCATATCCACAATGGCAGTGTACTGAGTGGGTATAATCTTTTTTAAATACAAATAGTCAATCTTATACACACAATAGCTATAACTATTATTCTCAAAATCCATTCACCACATTCTTCACATATCCTTATTAAACATTTTCTGTTATTTAATGAAGTACTGTGTTTGGTTTTGTCTATAATTATTTAATAATATCAAGCATTATAAACATCATACAACCATCACATTTGTAACCATTATCATCCAAATCTATTAATCGTGTTTACTTATCCTCATTATTCAATATTCATTATTTAATTACACATTTACTTCATTTTTATTTACATATTCTCCTTGATTCTAAATTTCTAACTTCTGCTTCTATTTTCTAACCATTGATAAAATAATTCCCACATTAAAAAGTATTGTTTCCTCCTTAACCTTAATTTTCAATGTTAATATATCCATTTCAGTACATTCTAGTATTTTATTACATTTTCCTCAATAGGTATGTTCATTTTTCCAATTTTGTGCATGCATAATTCTTGCTGTTGTTACATGTAAAATTAAATATATATTTCTTTTATTATATTTCTGCAGTAGGACACCCAACAAGAACATCTCTGGTTTTAGGTCTATTTGTTGTTTTATCATTTCTTCTAGCCAATTTTTTATTTTTAATCAATATTTTTTTGCCATAGGACAAGTCCACCACATATGATTGTAAGAACACGGTATCTGTTTACATCTCCAACATCTGGGAGATACGTTTTGGAACATCTTTGCCATTCTTGCTGGTGGCAGATGCCACCTATTAAACATTTTGTAGAGATTTTCTTTATAAGCTGTTGACATTGTCAATTTATAGTTTTTTCCCCAGAGTTTTTGCCATTTATCTAGTTCTATACTATATCCAAAATTTTGGGACCATGCTATCATAGTTTCTTTTACTTGTTTTTCTTCCATTTTAAAATTCAATAAATAGCTATATTTTTTATTAATTTATCATCCATCCCTAAAATCTAATTCTGAAAGTTCTTTGTAAAATCCATACATTTCTGCATCTTTCTTGTATCTTGATTATATTTGCCTAAGTGGCCACCAAGCCAAATAAATTCCTTGATTTTCAGTTTGTTTCAATTTTAATTCCTCTTGTTCATTTAGGATATCTTTATACCGTATAATTTTTTTCCAGTTCAAGAACATTTGTATGTATTAGTGCTTCCATCGTGGATAGCCAGACCAGTATTTTCATGTAATGTTTCTCTTTGATTTTTTCCCATACTAAAAGCAGAGCATTTCTAATATGTCTTTGAAAATATCTGTGTATTTTATTTTTCCCATACCATATAAATGCATGTCACCCCAATTATAAATCATGTACTTTTAAAGTCAATATTCCTTTGTTCCTCAAATTAACCCAAGATAACCTTTTTTTATCTGAATGCCCATCTTTTCCATCAATTCATTGGCCCTTTTCTGTTTGTAAGATTCTTTACCAGCATCTTAGTCTTTATTTTTAATCCTGCTACTTTCACCAAAATCATCTTTTTTAAAATTAATTTAGATCCCATTTCCAGTGGTTCTTCTCGGATAAATACTAGATCGTCCGCAAATGCCTGTAATTTTCTTTTTTTATTTCCATGCCTTTTATTTCTGGGTCTTGTCTGATCTTTCTAATCAAGACTTCCAAAGTTAGTATAAATAAGGGGAGCAGAGGACATCCTTGCCTTGCACCCTTACTTAGGTTGAAATGCTCTGTCATATCCCTATTTACTATCACTTTCACCATTTGTTTAGAATATATTGCCCTAATCATATTTATAAATTTTTCACCAAAGTCCATACATTTTACTTGTACTATCATGGATTGCCAATTCAGATTATCATAGGCTTTTTGTGCATCTAACAAGACCAGTGCCGGTTCTTTTTCAGAGTGTACTTCATAGTATTCCAATGTATTCAAGACAATTCTCATATTATTTTTACTTTGTCTTTGGGGTAAGAAACCATTCTGGTCCAGTGTATAAATTCATTCAGGAACTTTTTTAGTCTCTCTGCTACTATTGAGGGATATATTTTGTAGCGTACATTTAATAACAATATTGGTCTATAGTTTTTTATCTGCTGTAAATCTGAGTCTTCTTTTGGTATTAAGGTAATATTTGCATCTGCCCATGTTTTAGGAAGATTGGCCCTTAACAACACATCATTATAGATTTCCAACATTGACAAACCTAAGTCATCTTGTAGATGTTTATAAAGTTCTGCAGGAAGCCCATTTGGTCCAGGTGTTTTAGTGTGTGTGTGTGTGTGTGTGTGTTGTTGTTTTTGCCTTTTGATTGCTTCTGTTAATTCCATCATTGTTATTCTTTTGTTTAACATCACTTTTACTGTTTCTGGTATTTTGGATAATACAGCTTTTTCTAAAGATTGTTTTATTATATCTTTTGACACTTTTTCTTGACTGTAAAGTTTCCCATAGAATTCCTGGATTATTTTCTTTTTATCTTCATTTTGATCCCCTTCTCATCTATCAGTTTATGTATCATTTTCTTCTCTTTCTCTTTTTTCAGCTTGTATGCTAGCCATCTACCTGGTGTCAGGGTTCCGATGATTGCTCTAATTAAATCATGAGCCTTATTTGCATTTTCAAAAATGTTTTGTCTTGCCATTTTAATCTTTTGTGCCATTTCTTCTTTTTCTACTAAGTTTAATTTATGTTTTATTAATTCCATTTTCTCTTTTTTTGCGGATCTTTCTGCAATTCTATCTCTAGCTTTTTGAGTTCTTCTTGGAGTGTTTTTTTGCTGTTGTTTCTTTTCCTTGTTTCTTCTTGCTATATATGTTATGGCTAATCCTCGCATGTAGCTGTGCTTTTACCGTATCCAAAACATTTTGTAGTAATGTTTCTTCTTTTCTGTTTTCTTTAAAAAAGAAGTCCATTTCTTTTTCCATTATTTATATAAACTCCTTATCCTTTAGTATAGTTTGGTTCAGTGTCCATCCCAGTTTTTTCCTTTGTCCCTTCCACCTAGTTTTTATTGGGTTATAATCTGCCCTTATGTTCATTTCTGTATCAACCTTTTGGACATCTGTTCTCATTTCTGGCGACATCCATATCATTATTCTGGACCATGATTGGTGTGTGTTCGACTAAAATGTATATTAGTTTTTCTTTGGATTTAACTCTTTCCATATATCCTGTATGCCTATTTCTTGTATCATTAAAAAAAAACTTTTGGGGAGTGTCTTTATTTTTTTACTTTTTTGCTGCATCTATAGTCTAGTTTGACATCCACAATTGCATTGAAGTCTCCTATCATACATATGTTTTCATAGTCCATTTCAATTCTTATGGAGCTTTTTATAGAACACTTTTTGTTTGTTATTTAGTGCATATATTGCAATCAAAAAGAATGTGCTTCTGATTTATTACAACCTCAACCATCAATATTCTCCCTTCTTCATCTGAATATAGTTGTTTGGCTTTTAATGTTTAACATATAATGCCATCCCTTTTTTCTCTTGTTGCACTGTCAAATATAATTTCCCAATTTTGGGGTATTCCAATAAGTTGCCATGTTGTTTTTTAATATGCACCAAGGGAAAATACATTTACAAAACTACAAAAATTAAAATTGGACCTAATTTATCTTCATAAATTAGGTCCAATTTTAATTTTTGTAGTTTTGTAAATGTATTTTCCCTTTTCATAGGAGAGTTCAATCCATTTATGTTAATTGATAGTATTATTTCATCTTCCATCACTTCATTTATATATAGGTTTACACTCCTAGTTCTTATCTCCCTCTGTTCTTTTGCTCTTGCACCTTCTTGTTCTGCTCATTCTTTTTTCACTTTTCTTCTACTTTTATTTCTTCTTGTCTTTTACTTTCTATCTCTTCCCTGGTTTCCTGTTCTTCACTTGCAGTAAAATGATGATCAAAAAATTCATATGCTTTATCTAGCGAATCCAGTCTAAATCTTTTATTTTGCCAAATAACCAGGATTCCCTCTGGTATCAGCCATCTGAAAATCACATTATATTTGATCAGTTGTGTTGTCAGAAATTGATATTGTCTCCTTTGATCTCTTACTCTCCTAGGGACCTGTTTCAAAGTCAGAGTTTCTTTTCTTTTATATTTCAAAGGCTTGTCTCTTGATCTTTTAAGTATTTCATCTCTCAATGTCTTTTTAGTAAATCTCACATGTACCTCTCTTGGGAGTTTATGTCTTCTTGTGTAGTTTGTATGAATTCTAAATGTTTCACCTATTTCCTCTTGGACCTCTTGTTTAGTTTTCTGTAGAGCTCCAGCCAACAACTCTGTCATCACATCCATCAGGTCTTCCCCTTTCTCTTCTTTAATATTCTGGAATTTTAGGAAGTAGGCTGCCCTTTTCATCTCCAGAACAATTACTGTCTCCTCCAGGCCTTTGTTAACTTGTGCTACTTTCTCCACTTTTTTCTCTGTTTCTTCTTTTTCCTCCATTTTCTGTACCCTCTGTTCATTTTTTGCTTTTACTTGCTGAAAATTCCCTATTTCTTCACGCATCTTACGTATCTCCCCCTTCAACTTCCCCAGTTCATTTTTGATCTCATCATGATTTTTTACCATGGTTTCTTGGATTTTAACCAAACCTTCCTGAATTGATTGAAGCATCGCTTGAATGTTCTGAAAAGAATTCGATTCCTCCAAACCCAACATACTTCCTATAGATCTTTGACTGGATGGGCTGGATGCTGCTGAAGAAGCTTCTTGGGTGAGAAGCGAAACGTCTTCAAGGAAAAACCAGAAAGTCAAGTTGCCTCTTGAAAAAGGCACCTTTGGGACGGCTGGTCTATATAGTTAATACAAGAATTATTGAAATAAATAAGAAGCACTGATATTTTTTCCAAATAAAGGCAGTCCTCGATTTATGACCAGTCACTTAGCAACTGTTTGAAATTACAACCCCCAAAGAAGTACTTACAACCCAGCTCCGAAGTTTCCCCCATCACCCTGCATTTCAGACACTTGACAACCAGCCTGCATTAATGGTTGTTTACAGCATCTCGAGTCACATGACAATTTATAATGTTTTTGCTAAAAACTGGTGTTCCGGTTTTCAGCAAAAATGCACCATAGCAAACACAGTTCATTTAACAATCACGGTATTTACTTAATGACTGTCTCAAAAAAAGGTCGTAAAATTAAATCAGTCATGTCAGGATCTGCTTTGCAACCCTAATGGGCAGGCTACATTGCAATCGTAAATCAAGGACTACCTATACAAGCATAATTTTTTATGGGGGGCTAATATAATGATCTATAAAAGTTCCACAGAAGGCTGACAGCTCTCTGAATTGTTACAATCCTCCTTGGACCTCCACTGATAAACTGAGAATGTCCCTTCCCATCTCACACCTGTAGGTGCATAACTGGCACTGAAAGACCTACTATTTACCCAAAGTGCCCTATAACTATGTTAAGTTTAAGATGCCACAATTATAGCATGACTCAATTGGTTCAGCTAAAGGTGATCTGATTTTGTGGCATAAAATTGTTCTACTGTGAGGCTGAGAGGTCTCAAAACACTAACTGTAAAGATTTCCCCTAACCAAAGGCGTCCCCAACTCCTGGTCTGTGGTCTGTGGCATGCTAGAAAGCAGGCCAGCCACACAAGCAAAGCCCCATCTGTGGGATGCAGGCATGTGAATCTTCCCCCACCCCCCACCCCCAACCTCCGGTCAACCAAAAAACCTTTCTCCACAGGACCTATCCCTGGTGCCAAAAGGTTGGGGACCACTGCCCTAACCATTCATGTCTGACTCTAGGGGGGTGGTATAATGAAATTAATTTCTATTCCTACCTTAATATGTAAAAAGACATTTAAATTGTTAAGTTAAACTTCTTACCTGGAAGAAGAGCTGCTCGTTGGAGGCCCTCCACTGCCCAAAAGACTAGCCAGACCAGGACCTGTTAGAGCACCAAGTCCACCTATCAGCACAATTAACAATAAGATTTTTTTTTAAGTAATTTCTTAGGAAAAAGTTTATCAAAACATGCATTTGGAAAAGTTTATTCCACACCTAATTTCCTTTATAGGTCTCTCGTGAGAGGCCAAATTGTGCATTCCCACATTGTAAAACTGTTATCAGTGATCTTGATCTTGCTGCAAACCCTCAAAAACAATCACCCAAATAATACTTGTCTTCCACAAATTTCATATATCAAACCAATCTTGAATCAAACATGATCAAACAAAAATCCAAAAGTTCTAGACCAGGGGTGTCCAACCTTTCACCTTCCCTGGGCCACATTAGAAGATGAAAATTTGGTTTGGGCCGCACATAAAATAAAATAACAGCAATGATACCTGATCATCCAAAAAAAACCATAGAAAACATAGTTAACATATTAAATTTATTTGGAAATGAAGTTAGTGAGATGTTTTTATTATTAATTATTAATTAAAAATTATTTATTTTTTATCATGGTTTTTTTATCATGGTTTATTTTCCGGCCAAATTTTGCGGGGTGGGGGGAGAAAGCTCGCCCGCCTCGCGCCTACCTCTCCTCCTGCAAATGGCCCGGCTGGATGAGGCAGGACTGGAAGGCAGAAGCAGCAGCAGCAGCGGGGGCAGAAGCAGTGGTGGGGGCAGTGGCGGTGGGGGCAGAAGCAGCAGTGGTGGCGGGGGCAGAAGCGGAGGCAGCGGGGGCAGAAGCGGCGGGGGCAGAAGCGGCGGCGATGGCAGTGGTGGCAACAGCAGGAGGTGTCGCTCTGACGGCACCTGCTTTTTCTGTTGCTCCTTGGCCTGGCGCTCGCCTCGCCCTGCCTCGCACCTGCTTCTCCTCCTCCTCCTCACTGGCTCTGGCACAAAGGTTGGGGTGGGCACTGGGCCGCATTACAAGGTGACCTGGGCCGCATGCGGCCCTTGGGCCGCAGGTTGGACAAGCCTGTTCTAGACCATACATTCAGAACTGCAAATGATGGAGATCAGTTGCAATACTTTCAGGGCAAAAGTTCACAATTGTTACCATCTTCAGAAAACAATGTCCTACTTTGGAACCCTGAACAACAGTAAGTCAAAAAGAACCACGTTGGCCATGTGAGCAATTATTCTATTAAAGGAACCTTTCACTTTATTACTTGACATTCTAAGCTCCAAGTCAAGGCCTCGATAACCAGCCAGTAGTGGAGAAAAATCAATAGGGATCATAATACCAAATGATCTACTCCTTCCCAAAGCATCTGTAGGTACACCTCCCCCACAATATATCAAATTATCCCAACATGCTTACTTATCTCATGCCACACTAAGACAGGTGAATGAAAAAAAGGGGAGGGGAGGAGAGGAAATGGTTCTTCATCGTGTTCTTTATATTTTGAATATATGTTTTACTTTTATTCATAAACATTTTGAATACAGTGTATTGCCAAGGCATATCATTTACAAAAAATCAAAAATAATACAGAGATATTAACATGTATGCTGATAACAATAATAGTAGTGTAACAAAGTCATTTTAACTAGATCTTTCTTTATATTATGTTTATAATTCTGTGAATTATATCAATCTATTTATAATTATAAACCCTCTTTTCCAAGTTAATAAGATTTGGATGTCTCAATCCTTCCATTGTGGGAAGCCAGACTGGTATTTTCATGTAGTTTAATTTTTCCCCATATCAAGAGTAAAGCATTCCTCACATAAGGCCTTTGAAAATATGTATGTATCGTACTCCTTCCATACCATAAAAAGTATGCCATCCTAATTGAATATCATGTCCTCCAATAGTAATAATCTTCTTTTACCTATGTCAGTACCAATGCCTGATAATATATCTCCCTATTTGGTAATCCAAAACCTCCATTGCTTTTAGATTCCTGTAACATTTTCAGTTTTATTCTTGCCTTTTTCCATTGCCAAATAAACTTCAGAATTGTTTTAATTCCTCAAAGTATTTTTTTCTCTATTCTTATCGATATCATTTGGAATATAAAAAGTAATTTCAGTAATATATTTATTTTTATACTGTTTATTCTCCCGATCAGTGATAGTTGCAAGTTCTTCCATTTTTCCAGATCCAATCTAATTTGCTGCATTAGTTTTGTATAGTTATCATCTTTAATTGTTGTACATCTTGCTGTTAACTGAATGCCTAAGCATTTAACTTTCTTTGCTATCTGGAAGTCTATTTTCTCTGTCAATTCCTTTTCTCTTTATCTGTAAGATTTTTAACAATCATTTTAGTTTTTTCTTTATTTTCTACCCTGCCTCATCTCCCTATCCCTCAATTTCCTTTAGGACTAGATTCTTTTTTTAAAAAGATATTTTTTATTCAAGATTTAAAAAAAAAATTAAAAAGAGAAACATGTTCTCACATTTTGCAGCGTTATCATAAGTGTACATATCTATTAGTGTCAATTAAATTCATTTAGTACAAATATATCTATATCTTATTTACTAAGTCCTTACTAATTTGTATTATTATTGCATTGCAATATTATTTACATTACTTTACCTTTATACATAATTATATACATATTCGTCCTTGTTCCTGTTTTTCCTTAGAATTTATTTAATCATTTTCACTAAACATCTTTACTTCCTTTTTACTCAACCATTTTAGAATTAAAAATAGAATTAGAAGAACTTTATCATTGTACAAGTACAACGAAAATGCTTGTAACTGTTTGTAATACAATAAAACCAAAGCACTTAAAAATGAAGATAAGAAAAATAGAGTACCCATGTCTCCATTTGCAATTTGAGAGTACAATATCTACGAATATACACAAAATATACTTCCAACACTGACTGTAACGCTTAGCTGAGTATAATACACAAGAGATGTATTGTGCTGTAATATGTTATTATACATCTGAATGGGGTATTGAGATTTCACATCTTTTTACATCTTAATAAGGTAGTGACTTTGTGTTTATTTGCAGTTCGGATGGCCCAGGGAAAGAAACTATTTGTTAGTCTAGTGGTGTGGGATTTGTACCATATATTCCATATTGTAAAGAAATCTCCTTCGTTATTTTTAGTAACATGGTTAATCTAATTATTTCTGCACATTGGTGAATTTTATTGATTACTGCCAGGTCCGTGGGTACCATTGTTGATTTCCAGTTTTGGGCAAAAGCTATCCTTGCTGCTGTGATAATGTGTAATATTAAATGTTGATGCTTCTTGTCCCATGACAATTCCTGACATTCCCAATAGAAAGGTCGCTGGGTTAAATTGGATCTTTTGATCTGTCAGTTCTTCTAGCCATGCCTGAATCTTAAGCCACTATTTTCGCGCTTGAGAACATGACCACCACATATGAAAATACGTTCCATGGCTATGATTGCACTTCCAACATTTAGGTGACAGATTGGGGAACATTCTGGCTAATCTTGCTGGTGGCAGATGCCAGTGATAAAACATTTTGTAAATATTTTTCTTATAAAGAAACTGATAACATTAATGTATAATTAGTTTGCCATATTCGTTCTGATTGTTGTTCCCATTGAGTCAATACTGTGGCCACAATTTTTAGCCCATGTTATCATATTCTCCTTTACTGTTTCCTCTTTCATTTTAAATTCCTAGCAAAGCTCCCGTTACTTGTCCCAGCTTTTATATGTACCCAGGCAACACACATTTGAAATGAAGGATGGAATTATTGTAAATACAAAATAAAAAACTTTTTTTAAAAAAAAACTTTATTTCTTCTTGCATTGTTTTACTTGTATATGTCTTATACTCCTCATCGCTTATTTCTCCAAGTTCTTTGGCTATTGCTCCTTTCCGCTTTGCTCGTTCTTTTTCCTCCAGTTTGCTCAAGTCTTGTTGTGGATGCTTTTCTTTCATCATTGATACTTCTTGGCCTTTATGCACTATTTCTCCTCTCGTTTCCTGTTCCCCTTCCGTATTGAAATGGCAATCATAAAATTCCATTGCTTTATCTAGTGAGTCTAGTCTGTATTTTTTTTTCCTGCCAGGTAACTAATATTCCTTCAGCTATCAGCCATCTGAAATTCACATTGTATTTGATCAACACTGAAGTCAAAAAGCGGTATTGCTTTCAAAGGTCCCTTACTCTCCTAGGAATGTGTTTCAAGACTACCAGTTGTTTTTCCTTGTATTGCAATGGTTTGTCTCTTGCCTTGTTAAGGATCTTATCTCTCATTGATTTTTTCACAAATCTTACATGTACTTCTCTTGGAAGCTTGTGTCTTCTTGAATAAATTGTATGTATTCTGAAAATTTCATCCATTTCCATTTTCTGTTTATCTATCCCTAACACCTTCACCAGCAATTCTTCCATTATCTCTGGTAAATCTTCCCCTCCTCCTCTTCTATATTTTGGAATCTCAAATAGTGTGCAGCTTTTTCTGTTTCCAACATTATCACAGTGTTCTCTAATTCTTTGTTTGCTTGTGTCAATTTATAGTTTATGTCATCCACTTTCTTCTCTACTTGTTCTGATTTTTCCTCCTCCTTCTGGATCCTTTGCTCATGTTTTGTTATCCTTTGTTGGAATTTCTCAAGTTTTGCATCCATATTTTGTACTGTTTGTTTTCTCTCTCCCATATTGTTTCTTACTTCCCCTATGTATTTCCTTATCTCATTGTGGTTTTTTGTCATGGTCTACTATAATGTCTGGAGCATTGCCAGTATCTCTTTTAGAAAGGCATTGCATTTTTCCATCTGTAGCATACTCTCAATTGACCTCTGGTTGGATGGACTTGAGGAGGCTGATGATGGTGTGGAAGATGCCTTCTTCCCTATTCTGGTTATGTTTGAGGTTGGCATCTCTATCAGAAAGAAGAAGCCAAATTACAACTTCAGCTCCCTCCAATTCAGGTTCAGTCAATCTTCAATGTCTCAATGTATCTCAAAGCCTCAATATTTCAATACCAAAATCAAAATCAATTAAGTTTATAATCCGTAAGGCCCGCTGTAATCCCAGTCTTGACTTTTTACTATTTCAATAGCTT